GATAGAGGCAAGGTAGGGCTAGACATAATGGAAGCCTTCAGGTTCACGTCGTTAGGACTGGCAAGAGAAGTCGTTCAGGGCGTGCCCCGCTTTTTCAAAATGGTTCTTTGCACTTTGTAGGGCCTTGCCCATGAACCATAAAAGTGGGCTTCATTTTCGCTGAGCGGCCCCTGGAATGCCAAAAAAGGAGCGAAAAAGAAACCTATGGAAACTGATTGTTTTGAGCCTCTACGAGCTGTAAACCGCTTGAAACTTTGACCAGTTGCTGAATGGAGGGACCCTATAAAGGTACTATCGGAATCGAAGAGAAAAGTAGTCGGGGTATGGGGTCTTACTTGTGGCACGTAATCAAGCGTGAACGGCTTCATGGAATGGTTTCTTCAACGATCGGAGGAATGTTCAGCAACAACGATCGGATGGCCTAGTGGATAGCGTGAAGGATTCTCAAGCGGACAGTTGGGGTGGGGTTGATGGTTCGACTCCCCTCGGCGTGCGAGTTTTTGCATTTTTTATGTTTTGCTGTTTTCGCGTTCAAATATGTCTGTGCGTGAGTATGCGTTCGATAACTGCCATTTATGGGCACATTTTAAATGGGAACACTCCATGAATCAGTGCTATTCAATTATTACAGGTTTTACATACCATTAAGCAAGACCGTAAGCTGAAAGTTGATCTTTAGGTCAGACCATGCCCGAATCACGAATATGGAAATCATTTGTAGCTATGGAGCCATTTATCGTATTATGGAGCCACATGTTTCTTTCAATGAATGCGTTAGGTACACACATATAAGGGACGTGTAGCGCTACCCAGGCGCCAAATTACGTCGGCGCCGAAAATAAGTGTCAAAATCGTGATCGGGGCCATCGATTACCCCTGTAAACAATCTTTCGGCCAAAAAATTTTTTTCGACTTTTTTGGGTGTGTGCGTTGGGTTGTGCCCGACAGTCTTTCTATAGAAGTCTACAGTGCCTCGCCATAGGGACCCCCTATTTTATTAATATCCAAAGATAAAAGTAACAATATCGATGAAATTCTAGCAAAGAGGAAGGAAAGGGAGTCCAGGTAGACTTAAAAAAAGTTGAGGAATTTGAATGAGTGCAATTTCTGTTCCGGTAGGGGAGATTGACATCTTTATTGAGCGAGCAGGCGGCAGGAATCGGCAAAGGCCCAGGATGCTTTTTCACGAATGCCGACCACCCACACTGATGCCAAGCATGAAAGGACCTTGGGCGCGCTCTTGCGACACGGCTGTCCTGCCCGGCGGCCTGCTACGTCGTCGTTCCATCATCGTCTTTACGAAGATGTGATACTCCGGTCACCACTGCCGACCAAATGGTCCACCAAAACCCAAAAAATCGAAAAAATTTTTTTGGCTGGAAGTTCGTCCATAAGGGTAATCGATGGTCCTGATTACGATTTTGACACTTATTTTCGACGTCGACGCAATTTGGCGCCAGTATAGCGCTTAACGTCCCTCATATGGGGGTACATAGACGTACCTTTCGCTCCTTTTTTGGCGTTCCTGGGGCCGCTCAGCGAAAATGAACCCACTTCTGTGGTCTATGTTCAAGCCCCGAAAAACCATTTTGAAAAAGCGGGGCACGCCCTGAACGACCTTCCTCGTGAGATCGATAAAGCGAGGGACGAAATAGGTATCCGATCTTTCGCGTCATCGCCTCTTCCCTCGATGTGGCTTCTTTCGAGCAATGAACGGATTTTGCACCGCCGAAAAATCTTGGCAATCGGGTAAACAACTACATGGTTGCAGAATTGCTCAAAATCTTCGATAACAGCCATGACAGTCTGTGCAGAAGGAAGCGATGTGCGATACAATAAGATGACCTCATCTATACTGTTTACTGTTGTTATGAGTTTTCGTCGAATGCCAAACATTCGTACACCAGAAATCTAGCACAATCTCCTTATGTCTCTACGCCTGACTAATTGTTATGGAATATGGTATTACCGGAAGATTTACTCATATCCGTAATCTGTAATCGGTTCTCCATGACCATCACATCCGCTCGTCATGTGCGGAGCACGCTACACACAGGAGGGGGTGGGGGAGGGGGCTGGAGTTGGGGGTGGGAGAGCAGGGAGGTTGACCCCAGTGGCTCCGATAGAAGGAAAGTCAGTATAATTGTCTTAGCCCTGAGAGAGCGTAGGAGCACAGAGTAGAATCTGCTACAAATTCAATGCAAACTTTGAAGGTTGAAAAAGAAATGCCGCTGATGGTGAAGTGAAGTATGCCTGGAGGAAGGCTGCATTCGCGAAAAAACGAAATTCGACGCAGGACTCACCATGGATCAGAAAGAAATGATAAAGAAGCAAGAAAGGAGTAATCAGCTGCCCTCTGTCTGCTACGCGCTTCCAGAAATGGGTGGCGCTTTACACAGCAATTCATAATTCGTCTCCCAGACCGCCTAAAGACAGAACAAAGTTGGCTGGATTGCACACCAATAGTTTCACGTGTGGTAGAAATAGGATCGACTATTCTACGGGAAACCCGTGTAGTAGAGATGATGTGAAGCACGGGGAAGCTAGCCCGAAAGGAAGCGAGAAAACAGAGTAGACTACAGGAAACCAGGACATCTATAAAAGTTGAAGAATTCTGCACAATGTACCGTACCGGTAATTTTGAGCGCGTAATAAAATTTTTCGAAAGATCTCAGCGTAAAAACAACACACAAAAGCTATAGGCTCATAACAGATACCTGTGAAATACCGCAAGTGAAAATAATAAAGCATTATAGACTCGACCAACAGCGATTTGTCCTTTCTGCCACTGAATGCGAAGGTTCATAAAGAATGTTTTCAACACCAAAGATAACGATTGGAAATTTCGCTAACATCAAATTCGATTCCATGGGCTCCGATGAGCCGTAGTGGATTCCTTTGAGCGTACTCCAGCAAAGTAATAACTTCAGACAGTACAACGCTCATGCGTTCGTCCAGAAAAAGCACAAACCCACTGCCGATTGCACCTCGGAGAGAACCCACATCGAGCTCCTGAAGAAGGCCAGAAGCAGTTCGAAAAAGAGAATGTTTTTGACATTAACCCAAAGCACATCCTTCAGTATTTTGGAAGGTGAATTCGATTCTTGCGAAATGGCTTCACGTTCAGACACTTCTGTCAGCGCGTGTGACGCAAAACTATCGAGGAAAGAACTGTGAGCCACAACGGCCGCTTGCATCAGATCGCACTGGTTTTAAGCAGCAGAGCTAAAATCTGCATTTATAATTTCCGAAACGATTCTGTGAAAGATATTATGGAGGTTTCTTTCCAGTTCTCCACCTTCACAAGGTTATCAAACAAGGACAAGCACGTAGTTTTTCGTGAAAAATACGCAGCGAAATCAGAAGCATTATCATAGAAATTTCTCGAGTTTGCTACGATCAGCGCCAAAATATCTCGCTGCACATAAAAATAATGAAATAATAGTCTAATATCGAGGTCAAAAAATCGACAGCAGATCAAAGATAGAAGGCGAATTACAAGTCCTCTCTGCGTAATGGAAAAATTGGCACCATTCAACTACAAGAATCCCATATTCGCAAAAATTCTTTCGCTGGAATCCCGCTCCGAGGAATTACAAATGCCCTTACTACTGGCATGAGAGTAATTCTTGGGACTCCTTGCGCTAGACTGGCGCGACCCCTCTCACCACCACTTATCATGGAAAAAAAAGTGGCCTGGTTCGATTCAAGAGAGAATACATAGAACGTGGTCGTATACTTATAAAATGAATTATAAGGTTAAAGATAACAGCATATGGCACACCATGACTGGAGGTGGGGTAGTCAGAAAAATCAGTGTTCCTATCCTCCTCGACAATGTGGTACCAGTTCGCCGTCCTCGGAGTGTAGGAAGCTTGACTGGCCTGACTGGAGCGGGGGAGGGGGAGCCGGTCTGGGATTTCACCCCCGAACCGCGCGCGTGGTAAGCGCGCCACGTGCCACTACATAACCACTGCCTCACAACAAGAATTCCGTTTGCCTCATACACTATGTTAGATTGTCGGAAATCTCGTTTGGAAGGAGGAAAATCTGAGTTTCGCATCCAGAATTCGGGATATATTTTTCCAGGGTCATCCACTTCGAGCTGCTCTAAAAGCGTCGGATCGACGAAACTGCTAAATAGGAGTGCTTTCCGGGTTCACATGAGAAGCCTCGGAGACAATCAAAAGCACGAGCGCACCTAAGATACAAACCTATGACCTCTCGTCCATGAAGCAACCTACGTATCCAAGGCATTGCTTTTCAACAGTACCTACGAAAAACAAAGCAGAAGTGAGGGACACGCAATGCAGAAAAAACCGTTTGTGACTTGCTCAGAGTATAAAATCTGAATGCCGATTTGAGCGCTCGTATAGAACTCATTGCAAATGGTGGGACTGAACAATACCTTCGCTCGAAAGGTTAATCAGCGACAAATTCTATAAGTTTTTGAAACTGACTAAGCAAGAATAGTTCTACCATAGAAAACCACGGTAGGTAAACTCAAGACTACGTACCGATTCAGACATTTCAATATAAGTCAATGGTATCTTCACTCCGAAGTCGGCTCCAATAGGTAGAACACCTTGCGCGCAAGACGAATTTTGAGATGTCGAAATTCTTATAGGAATAATGTCATTAAAAAATAAATAAAAAATATAGAACGACAGTGAAGCATCATTAAGGATTAACTGTGATTATAGACGGTGATTTTAAACCATTTGATGAAACTGCAACTATGAGGTAAAAACGAATTTTGGTGACGAAGTGTCGCGGCAGAAAGGGCGGAGTTATCTGGGGGCGGGGCATTCAATGGGGTACACTGTGTGCAGAAAATGAGCTGTGGGCGCTTTGCGCAAGACTGGCAAAAAAGACCGCTTCGCGAAGAAATACTGAAAAAATCAATTTTCCAAATTCCATCATCATTTCAGTCTGTAAAATGGACTGGAATTAGAAAAATGAATGTTGGCCTAAGTTGAGATTTTTTTCCTGAACTTTAATTAAGAGAGACGTACTTTGCTCAAACCTTCCAAAGGAGCCACGGTTGATACTGCCTTCTGCAAACGCGAGGAAGGCTTTTCAGTGGCCTTGATCACAACGGTCACTTCCCGCATGTCAGCTGAAGCGTCGAAGAGTTGTAAATGGTTCCAGCTTTTATGCGGTAAGCCTTCTGACAATCGAATCCTCTCCCACACAATCTTAATAAAATGACATTACAACATTATAGCTTGCAATTTTTGCAAAACTAACAAAAAGAAACAAATCAGGGCAAACCTCTAAGGCGGTTACCGCTTTTTCCCCACCTCTGAAATATCGGTAATAGAGGGAAAATACCTTGCCTGTTTCATTTGAAATATCCTCTCAGGTGTGTATGTGTACAGGATATCAGGAACCTGAAGGATCTTTGCGCAGATCACAAAAGGCTTTCAGATTAGTAAGTAAAGTCGTGGAAACAATGCCAGAACCTACCAATAGTACATTGTCTTCGGGAACAATGACAGCAGCTGTTGACCAGTCAATCACTTCATCGAAAGGTAGTACCCAATCATCCGACAGCACAACTGGGATACATCCCAGTCTCAAAGCTTCCAGAAATCTAAATTGCAGCTTTATTTAATGGTACAGTCACGTGAAGGAAGCGCTCGAAGTTCGGTGGTTTTTAGCCTGTCCTATACATTAGACTCGAAACAACAGTAACTGAAAGCAGTAACTGAAGACTTTTTCGGAAGTGAAGAATATTAGAATCTAACAGAACCTAGCCCCGGTGCTAAGATTGTAATGCCTTACTACAAAGGTATGGAAGTGAATATTCCGCTCATAAATTTACGAACAGTGAGAGATGGCTTCGCAACGGGCACACAACAGCTCAAAGTAGGAATGACTTAGATTTCAACATTTGTGCCATCAAAGCATTGGGGCACAACTTGATTTTGGAAGCGAGTTCAACGTCACAAGGAGCATACAAAGGTGGGCATCGCACTGCAGGTGGCCGTAGTGACCTGCTCACTTCCCTGGTAAGACATTAGGGCGCAAAGCACGATCACCGATAAATACGCTTCATCACCAAGGGCCAGAGGAGAAATATAAGAAGAGGAGAGGAGAACAATGCTTCTACCATGTTGCTTTGAGCATTTAAAAAAGTGAATTACTCAATTATTTCACATGCAAGCATACCTGAATGATCCTAATCGTCTTCCTCGCGGTGTCAGACAAAAAGTCGAATTGGCCATCATTGTCTCGTAATCCCATCTAAACAAATGTCAAAGAGGATGGTATGCTTCATAGGATGGTGTCAACGAGAATAAAGTGGGGACCGTACTTGTCGTAAGCTTCATTATCGCTTTCACATCTAGCATCTTGATGAGCCTGGAAGATTGAGATTGTCATCAAGAATGCGATAGTTTTTCTTATTTCACTGCAATGCATAGCACCTTACCCATAACAGCAAGAATTGCAGAATATTTTTTTAGAAAGAAATTGTTTCGAGATTGCATTTAACTCAAATATCAGATCTAATGGAAGAGGGTCAGAGCGCAAAGTTTTTTTGAAGATACCCTTCGTTTTTTGGATACATGTTAGGGGGGTGTCACGCATCTCCTGTATTTGATGTAAAAGGCAGCATTTACGAGACGCATCTCCTGTATTATGAAATAAGCACATTACAAGGCAAAGTAGTGGCAGTAACCTTCCAGTCGTTATTGTGGCGGCACGTTGTCACCATGGCCACTGTTTCACCATTGTGCAAATGGTGAAGCGAATCTCGAGTCTCCGAACCAATACCTTAAATGTCACGTCACCACGGAGTGATGGGCGCATAATAGTAGGAACAAATGGGAAGAAGTTGAAACCCACCGTAAACATAACGCTTGCCCTTGAACGACACTATATATTGGTCCTGCGTTTTAAATGAAATATCCTGCTGAAAATAGTGTCAAGAGATTCAATGTATGAGAGCAGATTTTAGAAAAAGCTGTAGAAGAATTAGTCACTCTTGGGAATTCACGAGTTTTACTCAGAAAACAATATTGTAATCGGGTACTCAAACACTGGAAGACACGTTCTTACTACGATAGTTGGCAGGGGGTCCAAATATAAGTTCGTAGGTGGTAGATATCTCAAATGGAGGAGTAGAGGAAAAGAGACCGTCGGAGACGTCCCAAATAAGACCTCTACACTCAGCCAATAACAGCTGATATCGTTGCAATCTGCTGGGATGGTTTAAAGAGAGATGGGATGAGCTCACCCGCGGCATTCCGTTATTAGTTGTTTTCTTCCTAAACCACTCATTAACCATCACCACTAATAGAATGAGGGCGTCGCAGGTGGGCTCATTTTGCCCTCCGGACACAACACCCTTATTGACTGCGACTATAGGCGAGGCGGCGGTGTAGCCTACACAAGCAGAACCTAAGCAAGGGAATCAGAATCACTATACCGCCTGCACGAGGACGAGCAAAGCGACCAGAACGCCATTCATTTGGCCTACATTTGTGAGGAATTGGATTTGGTACAGAAGGTTCTGAGAACCAAAAGCTCCTGGAGGGATTGCCACGCACTTTCGAGTGAAGTAAGCGGTATATCCTATGGCAGTGTGGACCTGAGCTCTTTGTACATGGAGAACTTCACCTCCCAGACAACTGCGGTGTGTCTTTGAAAGAAAGTACAAATAAAAGAAAGAACAAGTGTTACCTCAAAAGCGTTCCGTAAAGGGTGCTCCTTGTGGAAGAGAGGGAAGGATATATCGAAGTCGAAACGATAATTCTAAGAGGTTCAACATTAACTAAATAAGATTGAGATGCAAATCTTACCTGTAGACTCGGAGAAGCACGAGCGATCATAGCCTTCTGTGTATTAAAGCCTAGATTGTGGTCTGAGTAGTCAGGAAATGTGCCGTGATACAGATTGAAAATAATGTGGTTCACTCCGTCATTCCATACTTCGACAGGAAGGTTGCTTATGTAACGGTCAACATCTCGTACGTAGTTCTCACTTGAAAAAACACGTTGCTTTGAATTTGTTAAAATCACTTAAAGAGCCTTACTCCGCGTTCAGAGTTGGCGATCGCGCGATAACGACCGGAGCGCTCCACCAGCAGGCGTTGCGCCGGGCACTATTCAACTATTACTACCCCAGTTTTGCGAAAACAGGCCGGATCTTGATCGACTTTTTTCTACGGGGGCAGATTTGGCTGAAATTTGGGTTTTAGGGTAATTGACCTCGTACACGAATATCACATCCATTTGGCCTGAAAGTGGCCGGCACCCGCGCCACAGGCGCCAGTGGTTCAGGA